GGCGCTGAGACTACCACTGGCGGTCCGCCTGGCGGTGCTCCTGGTGCTGCTGGAGGTTCTGCTGCTGCTGGGGGCTCTAGAGCTACTGGAGGTGCTGCTGGAGGTGCTGCTGGAGCTGGTCCTCCTGCTGGAGGTACTGGCCCTGTCCCTGCTGTTTCTGGAGTCGCCACGTGGCCCCGACCGTACTTCGTTCCTCTCCTGTAGCAGGTTCTTGGTCTTCCACCTTCTCCTGGTCCTCCTCCTCCTCCCTTAGGGGGTCCGCAGCCTGTCCAGTCACAGCCACAGCTACAGCCTGCCTCCCCTTTGCCTGCTCCTTCTCCCTACGCTGGTCCGACTGAAGGTCTTACTGAGCGTCGTGAGCGTGCGTCTCGTCCTGCGTCGCCTGTTCGTGCTGCGCGCGCTAGTGGTCGCGGTTCGCGTCAGCGTCCTCCTCCTGTCCCTGGCACGCACCGGATGTCTCTGCGTCCGTCTACTGCTCCTCTGCGTGCCCCTTTGCCTTCTCCTCTTGCTTCCTCTCTTCCTGCTCTTGCCGACCCGGAGTCGGACTCTCTTCGTGCTGCCAGTCCTACTGTCACGCGTCTCCTTGCTACTGCCGTCACTGACCCTTCTTTCGAGTCTACTGCTGCGTCTGCCCTTGTTACTGAGCTCGTCGACTTTGCTGCTCGCTGTCGCTTAGACTACGCTGCTAGTCTTGTCGCTGAGTCAGAGTCTGCTTGTCCTCCGTCCGTCGGGGGTGAGTGTGCCCTTGGCACGGACGTCCTTGAGGACAGGCAGGAGGAGTTCCAGTGTCTGGCCGCTGCTTCACCTCATCTCGTGTCCGTACTGCTTACCCCTGAGGGAGACCCGGATGCACTTGACATCCCGACTCCGCGCTCTTACGCGGAGGCGATAGAGGGTCCCTACTCCTCTCAGTGGCAGGCAGCTATGGATGCAGAGATGGCTTCCTGGAAGTCCACAGGCACCTACGTTGACGCTGTCCCCCCTCCTGGGGCGAACATCGTCAGTGGCATGTGGATCTTCAAGGTGAAGCGGCCGCCGGGTTCTCCGCCTGTCTTCAAGGCGCGTTACGTGGCTCGTGGCTTCAGTCAGCGGCAGGGAGTTGACTACTTTCAGACCTTCTCCCCCACCCTGAAGATGACCACTCTTCGGGTACTGCTGCACGTTGCTTCTCACCGTGACTACGAGCTTCACTCTCTCGACTTCATCACTGCTTTCTTGCAGGGTAGCCTGCACGAGGAGATCTGGCTGCGCCGCCCACCTGGCTTCACTGGGTCGTTCCCTCCTGGTACCCAGTGGAGTCTCCGGCGTCCAGTCTACGGTCTCCGCCAGGCGCCGCGTGAGTGGCACGACACACTGAGGACTACGCTGGCGGCACTTGGGTTTGCTCCTTCCATTGCAGACCCGTCGCTGTTTCTGCGCACCGACACCTCTCTGCCGCCGTTCTACATCCTCGTGTACGTCGACGACTTGGTCTTTGCCACAGCTGACACTGCTGGACTCGCCTACTTGAAGTCCGAGCTGCAGAAGAGACACACGTGCACAGACCTGGGTGAACTGCGCAACTACCTTGGCTTGCAGATCACCCGGGACAGAGCACGCCGCACCATTACCCTGACTCAGTCACACATGGTGCAGCAGGTCCTTCAGCGCTTCGGCTTCACGTACTCCTCGCCTCAGGCCACTCCTCTGCCTACTCGCCACTCGCTCTCAGCTCTGCCTTCGGATGAGTCCGTAGAGTCGAGTGGCCCGTATCCAGAGCTTGTTGGCTGCCTCATGTACCTGATGACCTGCACTCGACCTGACCTTGCATACCCTCTTAGCATTCTCGCACGCTATGTTGCTCCTGGGAGACATTGACCAGAGCACATGGCTGCAGCGAAGAGGGTGTTGCGCTACTTGTGCAGTACGTCGGGCATGGGGCTAGTGCTTGGAGGGCGGAGTCCAGTGGTCCTCACTGGGCATGCGGACGCTTCTTGGGCTGACGACCAGGCTACGCAGCGGTCGTCACAGGGTTACACCTTCAGTCTTGGTTCCGGCTCTGTTTCGTGGCGGGCTACCCGCTCGTCTTCTGTTCTCGGCTCCAATTGTGAGGCTGAGATCTACGCCGGGGCTATGGCTGCCCAGGAGCTTCGCTGGCTCACCTACGTGCTGACCGACCTTGGAGAGCCGCCTCGTTCTCCTCCAGTCCTGTACGTAGACAACAAGGCCATGCTGGCCTTGTGTCGAGAGCAGTGACTGGAGCACAAGACAAAGCACATTGCTCTCCGCTACTTTCTTGCTCGTGAGCTGCAGCAGCGTGGACAGTTGCGACTCGCGTACGTGGCCTCTGAGGCCAACACTGCTGATGTGTTCACCAAGGCACTTGCGCCTTGTGATCATCAGTGCTTCTGCACGCAGCTGGGTCTTGTGCCTGTCTTGCCTCACTTGCTCACTTCTTGACCTTGCTTGTACTTTCACATATATATACTCTTGCTCTTGCTTGCTTACACTCGTGTATATCTATATATGTGATCTTGCTTGTGAACTGGCCTTCTGGCCTTTGAACTTGTGCTCAGAATGTGTGGTGACTTTGTGATCCACCCTGAGCTTTGCTTTGCTTTGCTTGACTGGTCTTGTGACCCCTTGTTCTCCCCCACTTTGCCTATGGGGGTGTGTCAGAACATTATAGCTTACTTATTTGTGTAGGCTATAGTGGGGTATCCCATAGGGGGTACAACCCAATTAGGGTTTCCTATTTGTACTCACTTCGTTCATAGTCATTTCATTCTCGTTCAATTCTTCTCACTGTTGACCGACGTGCAGCAGCACGTGGGCTCGTGCCCCACGTGTCAAGTGATGAAGAGCTCGAGGAAGCGGAAGGCGGGTCAATTGCAGCCGATACCACCGCCCGAGTGCGCCTGGCAGCAGGTTACCATGGACTTCGTCACAGGGTTACCTTTCGAACCTTGGGGGTAACGACGCAGTGATGGTTGTCGTTGACAGGTTGACGAAGATGGCACACTTCGCTGCGTGCAAAAAGTCGATCTCAGCCGAGGAGACTGCTCGTCTGTTCATCGCAGCGGTTGTTCGCCTGCACGGGATACCAGCAGCGATTATCAGCGACAAGGACACGAAGTTCACCACCAACTTCTGGAAGAACCTCTGGGAGCAGTTCAGGACCAGGCTACAGTTTAGTTCGTCGTATCACCCCGACACCGGCGGTCAAACGGAGCGGACGAATCAGACGATGGAGCAGTTAATCCGTGCCACGTGCGACGACCCCACGACTTGGGAGCAGCAGCTGCCGCTGATCGAGTTCGCGTACAACAACGCCACGTCAGCGACGACGCAGCAGTCCCCCTTCTACCTGAACTACGGGCAAAATCCTATAGTGCCCATGACGCCGAGTCCGGACAACCCAACATCACGCGCACAGCAATTCGCCGAAATTCTGCAAGCTGCCCGCACCAGAGCCGCAAAAGCAATTAAAAAAGCAAACGTCATCGCTAAGCGCAACGCTGACCGCCACCGCCGCCCAGTCACACACCAGTCAGGGGATTACGTACTGCTCGTCACGCAAAATCTGTGACTGCCCGACGTTCTCAGAATCCCAACCACTAGACCATTGGGATAAAAGGGCTTGTTTAAGTAGCGGGTCAGTGCGCCCATAACCCCCCAGGCAACCGTGCCTGTAACCCTTCCCTAGGATCAATCGGGGATCACCAGTGGACCTCTGACACCCCCCCTCACTGGGATGCTCGAAATGCACACACCGGGATTCGAACCCGAGACCTTCGCTCTGATACCATCTCAGAATCCCAACCACTAGACCATTGGGATAAAAGAGCTTGTTTAAGTAGCGGGTCAGTGCGCCCAAAACCCCTCAGGCAACCGTGCCTGTAACCCTTCCCTAGGATCAATCGGGGATCACCAGTGGACCTCTGACAGACGTACCAAAACTTCGACCGCGCTACTGTGACCCATTCCAAATCAGCCACATGATTACGCCAGTAACCGCGCACCTACTATTACCGACCGGCTGGTACATCACCCCTTCGTTCCACGTCAGCTTGCTTCGCCCATACATCCCAACCACAAGCCAACTGCCTCGCCACTGCCCGCCATCCATGACTCGCCCTACATCAGAGGCGATCATCGAACCCGAAAAAATCCTGAATCATCGGATTCGCCACCCCACGGGAATCAGGAGGATTGAATTCCTCGTTCGCTGGAAGGACCGCACGCCAAATGAAGATAGTTGGGTGCCCCTGGCCAACATTGAAAACCACCCTGCCCCGCAAATGTACCTGAGGAGCCGGGGATTCCGCGATATACACGCACTCGCGTAGCGGAGGGGGCTTCTTGAGGGGGGGGGTAGTGTAAGGAATTTTCTTGGCATTCCTTACGGAGCCCGACTACATCGCGTACAGCAACAGCCGTTGTTCGCCCGTTACTGCTAACGGGACTTCGCCAACTTCGCGCGCACTGTTTTGCCAAACCTCGCACTGCTGGCCCCGGCCGTGTCGGCCTACGCTTCGGGACTAGCCCGAGCCTCGCTGCCAGCATAGCACTAGCTAGCTCGCACGCACCGCGTTACCGTTTGCATGTTTCGCGTATAAATGTTCGCTCATGCCTTCGCTCAGATCTTTGTACTCGTTGGACACCTTAGTGCAATTCTCGCTACTTCGATTCATTGCACCCGTAACATTCAATCAGAACGCAAGTTCGGGGACACACCAAAGTTACCAGACTGCTTCGGGCCGAGCGTATCGCACCGTTCGGCACCGAAGGTGACCTCAGGCAAGTTATCGTTACAACATTTTTGTTGAACGATGTACTACAACTTGCACTGTACTATCGCTGCTCACGAATGTCTTAGGCACTTGAGCCTACAGCGGAGATAGGCAGCCCACAGAACGACATCAATTCCCGATCACACTCCACTTCCCCACGTCACCTCCGCTGACTCCTCTCCTCGCCACGCCGCACCCTTCCTACTCGCGTCACCGCGTCGCCTCGCCATGCTCGCGGGGCTCACAGCGCGCTACTCGAGGGGAGCCGCGGCCGCGCGCTCCGCCGTCGCGCGATGGTGCGTCTACCGGCTTGAAGCCGGCTGGCTAGCGGCCACCGCCGAGTACCGCACGTCGCGCGGACCGCGTGATTTACCTTTACCTCCCCGTTCCGCGCAAGTCGACCCGATCGGGGTCTGTGGATTATTGTGGCCGCGACCTTGCTTTGTTGATTGGGAGAGTCGTCCCCCTTCCCTTCCTTCCCTCTCCTTCACACTCTTTCCCTGTTCCAGGCTCGCTTTGCTTCCCCTCCCATTCCTTCCTACCCTGTCACTCCTCTGTCTTCTGTGCTCACCGCCCCCAACCCCTTATCACCCTCCCGCACCCACCTCTCATCCCTTCCCTCCTCCTCGCACTGCGAACTAACCCGTCTTCGTGTGTACAACCTCATCCCCATTCCCTCCCCTCCTGTGGCACGCTGCTCACTCCCAGTCCCCGTTCCCCTCCCCCTCCCCCTCCCCCTGCCATCGTCCACTCCACCCCACCTGCCAGGTCTGCCGTCTCAGCAACGCTTCTCCCAACCGCACATGCGCCACCTGCCTCACCCATCCTCCCTCCTCCCGCACCCCCCTCCCTCTCCACACCCACCTCCACCACTCCCCACCCCTCCCCGCCTCTCTCCTCCTCCTCCTCTCCCCACTATTCCCTCTTCACTCAAACCATCCACCCCCTCATCCCCGCGCCTCTCCCCACCTCCTCCTCCATCACCCCCACCTCACCCGCCCTCCCCTTAACCCCCACGCGCACCTTCGTGCAGCTGCGCACCAACCTACAAGTCGCCGACAACTCGGGAGCGCGCCGCGTGCAGTGCATCAAAGTCCTGCGCGGGCGCGCGCCCAACGCGGCAGGCCTGGGCGACGTGATCATCGCCTCAGTGAAAGACGCGGAGCCGCGGGGGAAGGTGCGCAAGGGGGAGGTAGTGACGTGCGTGGTGGTGCGCGCCGCCACGCACCACAAGCGCAAGGATGGGACCGAGGTGCGCTTTGATGGGCCGGCGGCTGTGGTGATCAGCAAGGCGGGGGAGCCGGTGGGGACGCGCGTGTTTGGGCCGGTGCCTCATGAGCTGAGGGCGCGCAAGATGCTGAAGCTGCTCACCCTTGCACAGCACGTCATATAAGGGCTAGGTGCGCAAGGGGGACGTGGTGACGTGGAAGATGCTGAAGCTGCTCACTCTCGCACAGCACGTCATATAAGCGCCACATGGCGTGTGTATGAGGACAGCAGCCATTGGTGTAGGAGTGGCACACATTGGGATCATAAAAGTGACGTTTTGATGTGGGCGTGGAGTGGACTCAGCTGGAGCAAGTGGGGGTGAGGAAGATGCAGGTGGGCACTTGCCATTGCTGCGTCCACGTGCAGCAGTGGTGAGGGGGTGATTGTCTGGAAGGGTAGGCAGGGGACTAGAGTGTTTGGACCGCTTGCGCAAGATGCTGAAGCTGCTCACCCTCGCACAGCACGTCATATGAACCGTCACACTGGGCAGGGCACACGCTGGGCACCCGCTGGGCACACGCTGGGCACTCGCTGTGCACATGCTGTGTTATGGATGGCACGCTTTGTGATGGGAGGGTGACAGACATTCTGATGTGGGATGGATTCAGCTGGAGCAAGTGGGGATGTGGAGGAAGATGCAGGGATTGCAGTTGGGCACATGTGATTTCTGCCTCCAGTTAAGGGCAGTAGTGAGGGTGGTTGGAAGAAAAGGCATGCATGTAAGGGGCCCACTCAGCCTGTGAATGGAATGGAGCATTTGTTTGGTGCAATGTTCCCTTATGGTGTCAATATGTACAATTAGTGATTCAGTGCATCAGAGAACAAGGACGAGTGCGCAGCTCAATCTCCCGCACATACAGAAAATCCACACCGAATCCATCTAAAATATGGATGCTTCATTCGATACCCCCTAACCTACCCTAACTCCGCGAACACTACATACATCACCCTCCCTGAGCGCAGCCATTGCAGCAGCGCAGCAACAGCCAGTGGCTGAGAGGCAGCACGCCTTGGTGTGGAGCAACGAGACAGGGACACGTGTAGCCACGGGTGCACGTGCACACGGCCTCCTCACATCCACTCTTAAGAAGCTCCAGATGAGTACTGCCCCCTCCTCTTCCTGTGCCTCATCTCCTTCCTGCATGCGCGGCCCCTTGGAGCATGGCCCATGTGAGAAAGGCTACTCCTCGTTAGCGCGCACGTCGAACCCCTCGTCGCTGATCACGTTGGGGATGTACAGGCGCGACTCCGCCCACATGCAGTGCCTCATCCCCCCCTATCCCCCCCTCTCCACTCCTCATTGGAGCCCTACTCCTCATTAGCGCGCACGTCAAACTCCTCGTCGCTGATGACGTTGGGAATGTACAGGCGCGACCCCGCCAGCACCTGGTCGCCACGCACCTCGGGGTTCGCACTGCGCAGCGCATCCACTGGCACCTGGGGAGCATGAGGGTACATGGGCGCATGGGGGGCACATGGGTTGTGCATAAAGGGCAGATGTAAGGGGGGGTGTAAAGACGGGAGGTGGCCAGCACCTGGTCGCCCTGCACCTCGGGGTTTGCACTGCGCAGTGCGTCCACTGGGACCTGGGGGGTATGAGGGAGCATGTGGGCACATGGGGACACGTGGAAACGCATGGGGGCACGTGGGGGGCGGAGAGGACGAGCCCGGGGGTTTGGGGGGGGGGAGGAGAAAGAAGGGGGAATGGAGGTGGGGGGGGGAGATGTGGGGGAGGGGGGTGAGAATTGGTGTGTGAAGGCTGGCAGCACCTGGAGGCGCACACCTAACCGAGTTGGCAGGGTGGAGGGGATTTGGAGGTACCTGGAGGCATGTGGAGGGAAGCAGGCGTGCGTGGCCCTGCCCTGGATGGTGGGCGCGTGAGAGAGATTGGTGTGGAGGGGAGACGAGGGGCTGCGCGCATCGATGGCAAAGGACGGGAAGGATGGCAACGCGGAGCGTAAAGAGGGGAGCAACGCGAGAGGGGAATGCTGAGAGCGCAAAGAGAGCTGGCATAAGCCCGCCCCTCACCTGGTGCTTGTGCGCCAGGCCCCCTCACCTGGTGCTTGTGCGCCAGGCCCCAGAGCGTGTCGCCCTTGTGCACCTTGACCGTCATGTCCGGATCCACCCATGCGGGAAGGGATGGCGACGCCGAGAGCGAGGAGGGGAGCATCACAAGGGGAAGGCTGAGCCTGAGAGTGCAGAGACAGCTGACGTGGACCGCCCCTCACCTGGTACTTGTGCGCCAGGCCCCACAGCGTGTCCCCTTTGTGCACCTTGACTGTCATGTCCGGATCCACCACTAGCGCCTGCACATGCCGCCTCACCTTGGCCTGTGATGGGGTTTGGGGTGTTGGGGACACACATGACGGCATGCTCACATGCCAGCATGGACTCATGCAAATGAACGGATGCACGCAAAGGCACACACGCAACACCCACATATGCATGCATGCACACATGCGCACATGCATGCGTGCGTCTCCCTCACGCACGCACACCAGCCAACACATAGGTGCACAAGGTATAGGAGTGGCTCGGCTCATAACACGCTAAGCCTTCATCGCTGAGGGAGAGAGTGGAAAGGCAAGGTGAGCGGGATGAGGCAAGGCGAGGGGGGAGAGGAAGTTGTGCAGAAGGCATGGAGAGCACTGCGCGACTCAGCTAGTGGCTGCGCGTGCAGCTCTTCACTTGCACGTGCACGTCGCCCTGCTATTGCCATCACCATCGCCATCACTGTTACCATCGCCATCACTGTCACCATCGCCATCACCACCTCATCACGATCAACCCTACCCCCATCTATCACCCCCAGATAAACCCCTCTCACTCCACGTCTCACCACCAGCGATCTAACAGGAGTCCCAGCCTCACCTTCCCTTTCCCCCTGTGTGCCTTCGCGCCTTCCTCCCCCTTCGCCCCCATCAGGTACTTCACTCACAGCCCCACCACCACCGGCGAACTGCCTGACATCCCCGTCTCACCTTCACTTTCCCCTTGTTGTGTGCTTGCTGCGCCCCTCCCTCCCCCTTCCGCCCCATCCATTACCCAGAGATTAACCCTTTTACCTCCACGCCTCATCCCTTGCGTCCCGCCTCACCTTCCCTTTCCCCTTGTGCGTCTGCGCGCCTTCCTCCCCCTTCCCCTCCATCAGGTACTTCACTCCCAGCCCCACCGCCACCGCCGCGCCCCCCACGATCATCGCGCCCTGCCACAGCGGCTCCCGCCACCACTCCCCCTCGCCGCCCTCACCCTCCCCCGTGCTCTTCCCGCGCCCCTTTCCGCCTCCCCCCGCCGCCTTGCCCGAGTCCCGCGCGGCCATCTCAGCCGGTTTACCCGTCCGCGTCGGCGTCTGTTATCGAGGTTGCGGAGAGCTGCTTTGAAGCCGCTTCGGGCAAATCGGACTCGAATTTGAGTTTTGCGACGGCCGCGGCTGCGAGGTCGTGGCGGGGGCGGAACGCGAAGGGCTTAACGCGCGCGGAAGCTCGAGCGTGCGCACGCGGATGGCGGCGGCAAGAAGCGTGAGGCGCGCAGGTCACGGCGGCGGCCGCTGATGCGGGTAGACACGCTGGCAAATCGCGGGAAGGCGCGATATTTTGGCGTAGTGAGCGGGGTAGGGGGACACGGAAAGTAGTGTACTGAAAAACGCGAGAGCGAGCGAGAGGACGGAAGAAGGGGCTGCGTGGAGAATCGGGGATTAGAGAAGCTCGGTTGCGAGAGGATGGAAGAACGGTGAAAAGATGCCGCCGCTGGGGAAGCCGTCGGAGACTCAGAAGGTGGACGGATGAATTGGTTGAAGCGGCGGGTGGTGCAAACGTTGGCGCTGATGATGGCGTTGGGGGAAGAGCGAGGTGGCGGACAGGAGGGAAGAGCACGGGGAGCACGGGGAGCACGGGGAGCACGGGGAGCGCGGGGAGCGCGGGGAGCACGGGGAGCACGGGGAGCATGAGAACGAGATCTCACAGCGGCCTCGAGAGTAGCTCCACCGCGCGAGGTGGCGTCGTTTCTAAGCTCACGGCCGGTCGCTGGTGGATACAAACGGATCGTCCATTGGAAGACGCTCGCGGCGCCACACGCCGACCATGCAGGGCAGCTCTTGTGGGCCAGCTGTCAGCTGTCTGTTGTCGTGTCGGCTGCTGGCTGCCACTCCCCATAAGCTTGTGCTGTCAAACAAAATGCTTTAAAACTGCCTTACGTCTGAGCATATACGAGATTTTATTGGGATAACATCTATAAGGAATTTTAGTGATACAATTGGTACATCTTTTATCTAAAGAACCATTTCAATATGTACTGTAAATAAATGATTACACCACTTTCCTAAGCTTTCCGCAGAGTGCCTGAACGTGTGTCTCATACCCAATTCTTGCAAAGAGGCCATCAGACAGTGCACTTTTAATGATACTTCGGGTCTCAGCCAGAGTCGAAAATATTTTTTCATCTGAAAATAGGAAACTGTAGCGCTTGTCGCGGGGCTTGTCACTGTTGATGTTTCTCACAACTTGACCCACTTCGCCTAGTTCAGTGGCAGCGCAAGAAGTCCCGGCGCTGAATGTAGGCTCCTTTCCCCCTGATCTAATGGATTTCAACATAATATGTATAATAGTATGACGTCGGTCAGTAGAGGGATAGAGTAGAGGGCGAGGGATGGAGGGGACATGAGGCAGGGGGTGGGCACACCTTGGGTCTCAGCCATTCGCAACACCGCAAGGAGATACCACAACCTAGATACCACAACGTAGAGACCACATGATGACGTACCTCACTGCCTTGAGGACATCTTTCCTCGATGCACCTTTGTCGCCGACAACTTTTCCTTTGAGCTTAGTGGGACGCAGCTTGGTCACATACTTCGCTGGCAATGGGAATGGCAGGGGCCGGGCGCATGGGAAGGCAGGGGACGGATACGGACAGAAGCACCATGACTTGAACCGTTCCCAAGCGTCACCCCAAGTTACAGAAGAGAAGCGGCGGCGGCATCACCACATGGTTGTAACTTGTAATAGACTGATCATGTGCAATATGCTGGTTCCTTATTTTGGTGCACGACAAACCCGTCGTCTGCATTCCAAGATTGATATCCATTCACATATTCCCACACTGGATCGAAACAGCGAAATATGGTATGTGGATCACGGTCGTAGACGCTTACCTATTGTTCTCCCCTTCCACGCCAATGGCTTGGACTGAGCGACAGACGCAGCAGTAACGCCGCTGTCGTGAAGTGCCGCCGGGAAGAGTGACGCTGACGCGGAGGCAGTGAAGAGCGCCGCACCTGGTGGAAAAGGGAAAGGCACGAGCAAGGAACCGTTTGCCAACCAGGGACCCACTGTGGTGTTCGCACAGTGCGACGCTGAGTGACATGGTCTAGTCGAGTCGACGAGCTCATTGATCCGAAACAGTGACAGTTTCAAGTCACCTTGTCCTTGGAGTGACTTAGAAACAACGTATGGTCATCTACTGTGGTGGCAATAGAGCTTACAGAGCAGGATGACGAAGACATATGTTGCGCGCTCCATTGAAAACATTGCACTAAGAATATATGAAACTAGTAATGTTTATCATAAAACGGTGGTGTCGCCGTGATGCAGACGCTTTCGCGGGATGCGAGACGTGTGGCAGCATGATGATGACCCAACGATGCGGGTTGGATCAGAGGCATCGGCAGGACGAGGGAGGCGACTTTCATGACATCAGGCGGGTTTGATGGGATGTCAGCTCCACGTGGTTAGGAACTTGACGTGTCTCAACTTTGGTACGGACGCTTACCTATTGTCGTCCCCTTGGTGACTCAGCTTTATGTACGGGCGAACATGCCTGCAGCAGGATGTGCCCAATGGTTACTGGAACCCAATTTTGATTTTTTTCCGAGGCAGACATGTGAGGGCTCATGGTTTACGGTGTTGAGGCCTTGTGATCATGTAGTGCGCGTTCCCTTGCGGTCATGTTTGAAGTCTGCGTCCAATGTTAAGAACCTAAGGCAAGAATGAGTGGATTAGGTGAAGGCTAGGGTACAAGACTAGGGTATCGAGAAAGTTTGTGTACCCCTTAGAGCTAACCCCCATACAGCCTAGATGACCTAAACAAGCATATATATAATTTGACACACCCCCATAGGCGAAATGGGGGATAGCCAGAGCAAGCAACGGTCACAAGACCAGTCAAGAGAAGAAACAAAACAAACCTCAGGGTGGATCACAACGTCACCACGCAGTCTGAGCACAAGCAAAAGACCACAAGGCCAGTTCACATGCAGAGATATATATAGATCACAGTACAAACAAAGCCTACAGCAAGTGAGGAAGTGTGGGCACTAGGCCTAACAAGGTGCAAAACGCTGATGATCACTAGGCGGAAGCGCCTTGGTGAATATATCAGCAGTGTTGGCCCAAGTGGCCACGTAAGCAAGACGAAGCTGGCCACGCTGCTCCACCTCTCGAGCAAGGAAGCAGAGCGATGTGCTTCGTTCTGTGCTCCAGTCTGTGCTCCTGACACAAGGCAATGGTGGCCTTGTTGTCGACGTACAGAACTGGAGGAGAACGAGGCCGCTGTCCCAAGTCGGTCAGCAGGTAGGTGAGCCAGCGTAGCTCCTGTGCAGCCATGGCTGTGGCGTAGTTTTCGGCCTCACAGCTGGAGCCGAGAACTGAAGACGAACGTGTAGAACGCCAGGAAACTGAACCAGAACCAAGGCTGAAGGTGTAACCCTGTGACGACCGCTGCGTAGCCTGGTTGTCAAACCAAGAGGCGTCCGAGTGACCAGTGAGGACAACGTTACCCCGTCCTCCAAGCACGAGCCCCATGCCCAATGTACTGCACAAGTAGCGTAGTACCCTCTTAGCAGCATCCATGTGGACCTTTCGGTGCCGACTAGGAGCCACGTAGCGAGCCAGAAGGCCAAGAGGGTACGCAAGGTCAGGACGAGTGCATGTCATCAGGTAAATGAGGCAGCCCACTAGCTCTGGGTAAGGACCACTCGGCTCTACGGACTCGTCCAAAGGTGGAGCTGAGAGTGAGTGACTTGTAGCCAGAGGAGAGGCCTGTGCTGAGGACCAGGTGAAGCCGAAGCGCTGAAGGACCTGCTGCACCATGTGTGACTGAGTTAGTGTGATGGTGCGGCGTGCTCTGTCCCGGGTGATCTGCAGGCCAAGGTAGTTGCGCAGCTCACCCAGGTCTGTGCACGTGTGTCTCTTCTACAGCTCCGACTTCACCAGGGCGAGCGCCTCAGTGTCAGCAGTGGCAAAGACCAAGTCGTCGACGTACACTAGGATGTAGTACGGCGGGAGCGAAGTGTCGGTGCGCAGAAAAAGCGACGAGTGAGCAGTCCACGAGGCAAACCCAAGAGCCGCAAGAGTCGTCCTTAGCATGTCGTGCCACTAACGTGGCGCCTGGTGGAGACCGTAGACTGGCCGTCGGAGGCTCCACTGGGTACCAGGAGGGAACGACCTAGTGAAGCCAGGTGGACGGCGCAGCCAGATCTCCTCTTGCAGGCTGCCCTGCAAGAAAGCTGTGCTGAAGTCAAGAGAGTGAAGCTCGTAGTCACGCTGAGCGGCAACGTGCAGCAGCACCCAAAGAGTAGTCATCTTCGGGGTGGGGGAGAAGGTCTGGAAGAACTCAAATCCCTCTCGCTGACTGAAACCTCAAGCAACGTAACGAGCCTTGAAGACAGGTGGAGAATCTGGCGGCCGCTTCACCCTGAAAATCCACATGCCACTGACAATGTTCGCCCCAGAAGGGGGAACATCGTCGACGTAGGTGCCTGTGGACTTCCAAAATGCCATCTGTGCGTCCATGGCTGTCTGCCACTGAGAGGAGTAGGGACCCTCGATCGCCTCAGCGTACGATCGTGGAGTCGGGATGTCTGGTGCATCCGGGTCTCCCTCAGGGGCAAGTAGCATGGACACGAGATGAGGCGCAGCGGCTGCAAGACACTCAAGGTCCTCGTGCCTGTCCTCAAGGACGTCCATGCTTAGAGCACACTCACCCCCGACGGACGGAGGACAGAGAGACTCAGAGTCAGCAACAAGACTAGCGGTGTAGTCTAGACGACAGTGAGCAGCAAAGTCAACAAGCTCAGCGATCAAGGCAGACGCAGCAGCAGACTCAAACGACGGGTCGGCGACAACAGTGGCCAGCAGACGCGTGACAGTAGGGTACTCAGCACGAAACCGGTCAGACTCAGGGTCAGCAACGACAGGCAGAGAGGACGCAGGCGGAGATGGCAGGTGATCACGTGACGGCGGAGAGGAAGGACGACGGACGAAAAGGGAAGGGCCGGGGAGAGCCGGCTGACGTTGACGAGGAACACGACGACTGGAATGACCG